ATTTCTTTTTAAGCTTTCTCAGGGTTTTATGTGGATGTAGTTACCCACATCATTGTGCCAGTCTGTAGTAGGTGGCGCCTTGATCATTCCCAGCTGCTCAGCCCTCAAATAACCACACAGAAACTACATTATTTGCAAAACTGCTTGACCAGTCACTTAAGCGTATTGGTAGCTAGCTCTTACATCTAGAATTAACCCATTTCCATTATTTTATATTTTACCATGAGGCTTGTGGCCTACTGGTAAGGTTCTAGCTGGCAGCTTGCATCTTTCCCCTCTGGTGGCTCCATGGCATCCCCTTGACTCTGCGTTCTTTCTCCCAGCATTCAGTTTTGTTTTCCTTGCCTTGCTCTACTCTACCCTATCACAAGCCAAGGCAGATTCTTTATTCATTAACCAATAAAAACAACACATAGACAGAAGGACTTCCCATTGCAGTTTGGAGAGAACTACGCCCAAATTCCCTAAAGGATTGTTTATAAATGTTTGTTTACACTTAAAAGGGGATATGATATAGAGATGAATACTTTGCATTGATATGGATCTTGGTTTATTGATACAAATTTAAGGTCAATTTTGTTATATGTATATTTCTGCTCTTGATTAAGGTATTGTGAGCTGAAGAATAGATAGTTATAATTTTAGTTTTCCTTAGTTATGATAAAAGATAAAGTAGATATAAATGTTGTACCTATAATTCTTGCTTGATACTTGTTTTGTTATATGTAACTTTACTAAGTTAAAATTAAAAACTTCCTTTTTATTTAAACAGAAAAGGGGAAATTGTGTGGGAGGGTCTTCTGTCTATGTGTTGATCTTATTGGTTAATGAATAAAGAATCTGCCTTGGCCTGTGATAGGGTAGAGTAGAGCTAGGCGGGGAAAAATAACCTGAATGCTGGGAGAAAGAACACAGAGTCAAGGGGACGCCATGGAGCCGCCAGAGGGAAAAGACGCAAGCTGCCAGCTGGAACTGTACCGGTAGGCCATAATCCTCGTGATAAAATATAAAATAATGGAAATGGGTTAATTCTAGATGTAAGAGCTAGCTACCAATACACTTAAGTGATTGGCCAAGCAGTTTTGCAAATAATATAGTTTCTGTGTGGTTATTTCGGGGCTGAGCAGCTGAATAAACAAGCTGCCGGCAACAATACCTCTTCTGTAATATTTTAAATCAGATACTTCCTTCTACTTCAATGATTGCAATTTCTGAATATGCAATCATTTATATTCTAGACATATTTATTTGTAGACTTACTTTGTCACCTGCTTTTACCTATTTCTGTTGGCCATGGTCCAGGACAAGCTAGAATAGCCAAAACTGGTTTTAAGATTGAGATTGGCTAGTGGAATACCAAGGAAGATTACAAAACAAGATCAAAACTGGCTTTCTGCAGTGGTTACGTTGAAACCCGAGCTATCCCAAATACCTGTTGGAAGTCATTGCTGGTCAGATTCTCCCCATGGTTTAGCAGCTTATCTCAATATGCTGGGCAAAAAAGGAGCTCCCTCCCTGTAGCCGAACTTCCTGCTTCTACCTGCTCTTATCCTTATCTTGAGAAGGTCCCTGGGCCAGGAGGACTGACCTTATCTAAAAGCTATCTCTAAATCAGAGGCCCTATTCAGCTTTAGTTTAGACTTTTGGCACAGTTCTGCTGAGAACACTTGTGCTAGGTTTTATGATTTTTTAAAAAATGCTGGCGGGTCCCAGGAAGCAGCATGCAGCCATTCCCAGCGGGCTGGTCCCGCCCCATGTGGTTTCCCAGTGGCCAGTGGCTGAGCAGGCAGTGGGTAAAAGGCACATAGACACATAGTAGAGAATAGAATGGGGGGGGAGTGGGGGAAGAAGGAGAAGAGGAGGAAAGAGACAGAGAAGAAGAGACACATGCGCAAAGAAGGAACAACAAGAGATTCAAGATGGCAGGGAGGGGGAAGCAGGGGTCACCGGGAGTGGGCGTGACTTGCCTCTTAAAGAGACAAAAACCATAACACTAGGGACTCTCTATTGGATCCTACTGCCACATACTAAGCCCTGTGATAGGGCCGTGCCAGTTAATGCAAATTTTCACCGAAATCTGTCTCCTGGAGGGCTGCCTCCATTCATGCTTCTGGGCCGCCAAAGCCCTCTGTTGTCTCATCTGCCTCTTTCCCCTCTCAACCTGGTGGCCAACAGGCTGAGAGGGAAGGAAGACCCCCACAAACACCAGTACACATAATTAAGTATTGGTGTATTGCCCCTTTGAGCTAGTTGTAGAGGCTTCCCCAGAGGGGCTCTGGGCCACAAAACCCACTCTGTTACAAAGTTGTTACTGAGTTTATGCCAGAGCCAGGTTCCCGATTCCCCACATCTAGGCTAACTTTTACATTTGAACTTAAGCTTCTGTTTAGAAATGCTCCCACACTGGGTTGTTCATGGTCAGTCAGGAAAGCAGAAAACCCAGCAAGGAGGAGGACAGATGTGCCTTCTGGACGGAGGTGGCCTCGACCTGCCTTGTTGGAAGTCACTGGGTCCCAAGTAAAGGTCCCAAGATCCAGAAGCTAGAAGAGCCTGAAAGACCCTCGAAGAGGACTTTCTCTCAGGAGGAGACCTCCCCATGCCAAGGAACAGGCCGAGACCATACGGATGAAAATCGCAAGAGGTTTATTGGGTAAACACAGGTACCTGTGGGTGGCAAGTCTTTCTGAGGACTTGCGTGCCTGCCGACTGGAGGGCGGGTTTTTTTTTATAGGGAAGAGCAAAAAGCAAGTTTACAGAAGCAAAAGCGTGGTTATCAGAATGAGGTGGGGGCATGAAGGTTTCCTCTCTCAGCATGGGTGTCAGCAAAAGTCATCCTGATCCTATCTTATAGATATCCTGTTTTGCAGTCAACCTGCTTTGCTGATGTCCTATCTTATTGATATCCTGCCTTGCAGTCATCCTATCTCGTAGACATCCTGCTCTCCTAAGCAAATGGAATGTTCTTATGAGAGCAGGCTGGCTGCTGATCTGAGAATTTTTTAAGCAAACAGGGCGCCCCCCCACCCCCGGGAGCATGCTAGCTGTGGGTTTTGAGGAGGGGGTCTGTAGGGTCTTTCATTTCCCCCTTTTTCTTTTTATTATGGAGTTAAATCTTTTACTCAAAGCAGTTACAGAACCTTGGTTTCTTGTTGTGGTAACATGTGATACTGATGGGTCAGTACTAGGGCCTGAATGACTGACAGCCTGTCTTTTATAAACTGGACCAGGCGGTTTAAGATGCAGGGCCCAAACAGGAGTATCAGAAGGTGGATAATCAAGGGACCCATCAAAGAAGACAATAGAGTTGTAAACCAGGGAGACTTATTAAACCATCCTTCAAACCACCCTTGTTGTGATTCGAACAGCTTTTGTCTCTGTCTTAACCTCTCTCTAAGCTTTGTCATATTGTCTCTCACCAACCCAGTGTGGTCCGCATAAAAACAACATTCCTCTTTGAGTGCCATGCATAACCCTCCCTCTCGCAAAAACAACAAGTCTAGCCCCCTCCTGTTTTGTAGGACTACCTCTGAGAGGGAGGTTAATGATTTTTCAAGTGCGCTAACCGATTCTTCCAGCGCCTTGATATCAGTATGCATGGCTGCTGAAGTTGTCTAAATTGGCTGGTCTCCATAAGAGCTGTGGTCCCTGTGCCTACCCCCCACCCCCCGGGTGATGGCAGCCATATTCCGGGAATGGTTCCTGATCTGAGGGGTTCCAGGACTCTCCCACCAAATCACAAAGGTCGAAGTACAGGGTTGGGAAAGCGTCTGTCATTGTTCCCAACAGGGAGGTGGCATTGGCTACTTATCCTGTCATGAGATTTGTAACCCTCCAGGTTACATTGAAAACCTGGTGTGGGCTATTTTCTTGTGTCGCCATCCCCAGTCTTAGTAGGGCCCATATAATGATCAAAGGGCCCCACGGGTAAGCCTTATCTTTAAGGGGTTTTGAGTGCGTTGGATTCTTCATGCTGGGGTCGCAGCGGGCTCCGCTTTCTCAGCTGTATGGGCGGCCTTAATGTGTGAGGCGTGGATCCAGGCTGCAATGCCGCCAACCTTCAGTGCCGTTGGGGTGGTCAGAAGGACAGTGTAAGGGCCTTTCCACCGAGGTTCCAAGTTTTTGGTCTGGTGTCTGCGGACCCAAACAGTATCTCCTATCTGGAAGGGATGCGGTACCACCGGCTGGTTCAGTTGGTCTCAGTAAGCAGCGGCGAGTGGCTTCCAAACCTCTCTTTGCACAATCTGTAACGCCTGTAAATGAGCTTCCAGAGAAGGACTGTCAGCAAAATCGGCAATGTTTGAATCAAAGAAATTTATAAATGGGGGAGGTGCTCCATATAGGATTTCAAAAGGTGTCAGTCCATGAGGCCCCGGAATGTTGCGGGCCCTGTACAGGGCCAGTGGTAAGAGGAGCACCCAGTCTCTAGTGCCAGTTGCAAGCGTTAATTTGGATAAGGTCTCCTTAATTGCACTATTCATGCGTTCTACCTGCCCTGAACTTTGGGGTCCATATGCACAATGTAATTTCCATTTGACCCCTAGGAGTTTGGCCACCAACTGACTTACCTGGGAGACTAAGGCAGGCCCATTATCGGTGCCTAGGACTTGAGGCATTCCGTACCTGGGAAAGATTTCTTCCAAGAGCTTTTTGATCACCACCTTTGCGATTTCGTGTTTGGTGGGAAAGGCTTTCACCCATCCTGGAAAAGTTGTCTATGAACACCAAGAGGTATCTGTACCCATAGAGACCTGGCTTAACCTCTGTAAAGTCAATCTCCCAATGTACTCCAGGACGATGTCCCTGTGCCTGAACTCCTGGACCAAGCTTGGTTCTGCCTGCATTTACCTGAGCACAGGCTCGGCATTCATCAGTCACTTTTTGCAGGGCTCCATCCCTGTTCAGGAGGTATTGGCCTGACTCCTGTCTGTCCAACAAGGTTTTTATCTTCTTTAGCCCCAAATGAGTCAATTTATGTAAGTAATAATCTTTTCCTTGAAAACCTAATGTTGCTTTTTGGGGTCATATGTGGCCCCCATTTTCTTTAGGAGATCAATGTCCTCTTTACTATAGGGTAACGAACTGGAGGCTTGGGCCTCTTCCCGGTTCTTCAAGGGGAAAGCTTGGGAGGTCTTGGTTGATTTCATGGCAATCTCTCGAGCAGTGTTATCTGCCAGTCTATTTCCCTTTGCCTCAGGGCTTTGGCCTTTTTGATGCCCAGGGCAGTGCATAATACTTAATTTTTGGGGCAAAAATAAGGCTTTTAGGAGTGCCAGTATCTCAAGTTTGTTTTTAATTTCCTTTCCTTCTGAGGTCAGCAGCCCTCTTCTTCGATAAATTTCCCCATGTATGTGAGCCGTGGCGAAGGCATATCGGCTATCCGTATAAACATTTAGCCTCTTACCTTCTGCCATCCGGAGTGCCTGGGTCAGAGCGATGAGTTCAGCCCTCTGGGCGGAGGTGCCTGCGGGGAGGGCTTCTGCCCAAATTACCTCAGTCTCCGATGTCACTGCCGCCCCCGCTCTTTGTTCCCCATTTGCCAGGAAACTGCTGCCATCCGTGTACCAAGTATAGTCAGCATCTCGGAGGGGTTGATCTGTCAGGTCCGGCCTGGTCCCGTATATTTCCGCAAGGATCTGGAGGCAGTCATGGTGTTCCGCTTCCTCCGGCAGGGGGAGCAAGGTCGCGGGATTAAGAGCGACCACAGGTCCGAAGTGCACCCGGTCCGTATCCAGGAGCATGGCTTGGTAATGGGTCATGTGGGCATTAGAGAGCCAGCGGTCTGGAGGCTGCTTGACCAGGGCCTCCACCGCATGGGGCGCCAGGATAGTCAATGGCTGGCCCAGAGTCAGTTTACCCGCGTCCTTGGTGAGGACTGCAATCGCTGCTACCATTTGCAGACAGGGCGGCCACCCTGAAGCTACTGGGTTGAGTTTCTTTGAGAGGTAAGCTACAGGACGCCTCCAACGGCCCAGTTTTTGAGTTAGGACCCCTTTAGCTTAACCCTGTTTTTCATCCACTAACAAATTGAAAGACTTGGTAATGTCAGGGAGGCCTAAAGCAGGGGAGGCTAATAAGGCTTTCTTAATGTTTTTGAAAGCCCTCTGTTGTTCCTCTCCCCAATCAAACATTGTTCCTTGTTTAGTTAATGGATACAAGGGTGCAGCCACCTCTGCAAACCCTGGGATCCAGAGGCGGCAGTATCCCACTGTTCCCAGGAACTCTCTCAGCTGGCGGGGGGTTCCGGGGAGCAGGAATGTTAGTGATAGTCTGTTTGCGCGCCTCGGTCAGCCATCTCTGTCTATCTTTTAATTGATAACCTAGGTAAATGACTTGTTCCTGGCATATCTGAGCCTTCCTGGCTGATGCCCGATATCCTAATCGTCCCAATGTCTGTAGGAGGTCTTTTGTGCCCTCCTGACATTCTTTCTCCGAAGTGGCCGCCAGGAGGAGGTCATCAACGTATTGGAGCAATGTCAGGGCGGGGTACTGGACCTGAAAGTCTGCCAAGTCCTGGTGTAAGGCCTCATCAAAGAGAGTCGGGCTGTTCACCTTACTGGTAGCCAGCTGAACCTTCCGATTAGTCGTCCATCGATATCTCTTGCTACCAGTGGCTCCTTGGACTCAAGCAGATCATTCGCTGAGTGGCCCTGAAGTCTGGGTCAGGACTGAATGCTGGGCCCCAGTGTCTACTAGAAAGGTGACTGGTTGCCCCCCCTCCACATCAAGAGTTGTCCTGGGCTCGGGGGGGGGGGGGGTCTCCTGGCCCTGAGTTCCCTAATCCTCTAAGGTGAGGAGGGAGGTTTGGGGCCTGGGCTTCCTAGGTCCTTTTGTTCCTCCTGGGGCAATCCTTAATCCAGTGTCCTCATTCTTTACAATAGGTGCTTGGTCTCTGTCCACCTTGGCCCTAGGTCGTTCTCCCTTCCTGTCTCCCTCTCTATTCTGTCCCTGAACCACGGTGGCCAACACCCTAGTTAATTCCTTGTTTCTCCTCTTGTCTCTTTCATCCTCCCGATCTTTCATTCTTTGCCATAATCTTTCCTCTTTTTTTTCCTGGAGTCTCTCATTGAAAATCTTCTCTGCCTCTTTTAGTAGGTCTTGTATAGTATATCCCTGGAGACCCTCAAGCCTCTGCAATTTGCTTCTAATATCTGGACTAGACTGCCAAATGAAAGACATGGATACACTTGTAGTTTGTCCTGGATCTTCAGGGTCATAGGGGGTATACATCCTATAAGCGTCCTTGAGCCTCTCTAAGAAGGCTGAGGGCATCTCTTCATTTCCCTGTATTACTTGCTTAACCTGGGCCAAATTGGTGGGGCAGCTTGCTGCCCCTTGGAGACCCGCTGTGAGCAACTGGCAGTAAAGACGTAGGTCCCCTACCTGCGTCCATGAAGGGCGTGGGAGGTGGAATTAG